GCCTTAATCATAGCTAGGCTAGACAGGGGTCACCGATTTCTAATGAGGTTACAACATCCTTAATTATCAGAAATGTGATACGAGATGTATCCGGTCTTCTGAGTCCATTGCTGGGAAGCTATACAAATGCCCTCATTAGGCTAGGGGGTCCCGCACAGAACAGGTAGCTGTAAATTCCATTGATGCATTGATGAAAGGTTGGATTGTATTAAAAGAAATTTGGTCAAATCTTTAACCATGATGGTCATAATATTTGAAGAGCAAGTAAGTCTAGGAGTGTTGATGAAAGAAGAATAAAAATTACATTATTACTGGTGTGTGTGTGTGTGTGTTGTTTAAACTTAAAACATTCATTACAATGCATTATTTACTAAAATGGTAGGAAACTTATTAAATAAAGTGTTTACTCTCATGTAGAAAATTGGTTGAGAAGCCTTGTAAAATTGTAGGGTCAAAATAACAGAACAAAAATGGGAAACTTGAAGAGATGGAAAGGAGCCTTTTTGATTATGGGTCTCTACATTGCTCATACAAGGCTGCAGAACACTTGAGGGACTGTACTAAGGTCTGGAGAAGGAACCCTGATTAAGAGAAGTCAGAATCCTGGAACCAGAGGAATAGTAATTATTAAGATAAGGCTATAAATTAACTAATTAGTTAGTTAATTTTTAAAAAGTCAGGTTAATGCTAAGACAACCTCTACCAGATCCAGAAATGAAAGGCACTAGGGGAGCCATGTTGCCAAGATGGCAGAAGAGGGGACCCCAGCCTCCACCCCCCAACAAAGACCAATTATTAGCTATCTTTGAGCAAAAATACACCTGCAAGGGTTCTGGGGTCCACTTACAAAACTTCAGCAACACAATGGTACAAAACAACTTAAGGTTAACCACACAAAGGGGAGAGAGAACAGCTGCATTTTGCCTGCAACACCCAAGTCCCCCTCCCCCAGCTAAAACTGCCCAGCACCAAGAGGGAACTCCCCAGCGAAGGCACTGCCCTTACAGGAAAAGGAAGAGCAAGGTCAGAGGGCAGCTTCCCCAGCCCAACTAGAGGATGAAACTCAAGTTGGAGAGTTGGATCAAAAACAGACTGGAGAAAGGCATGGAGCTAACAACTATCTCTGGGGCTGACATAATAAATGGGGGGCCTTGGGGAGCTGGGTGATAAAGGGAAGAAATTAAGTATACATTTCCAGCTATAAAAACAGTCATGGGCTGTAAAGTAGAGCATAGGGAATATAGTGATTGTGATAACTATGTATGGTGCCAGGTGACTTATTGGAGGGAACACATTGTAAATTATATAAATGTCTAACCATGATGTTGTACAATTGAAACCAAATATATTGTGTGTCAACTGTAATTGGGAAAAAATATTTAAAAATATTTTTAAATAAGTTCTCTGAAACTTGCAAATCTTATCATACTTTTGAAATGTAAACACCCCAGGAGCTAACCAAAACATTGCGCACAGAAACCCAAAGACAAAAGAGGCCTTAAAAAAAATAGACTGCTGTAGCCAAAATTGATTTGTGAAAGAACTAAGGCTTTTTACGAAACTACTAGAACATAGTAAGGATGAAAGAAAATGACTGTATATGAGAAGTAGGATATAGGTTTTCTGTACAAGAAGGTATAAAAAGAGGAGATGCATTTTTGTTGAGGGAAAGGAAAATAGAATATGGTGTTGTTATTTTGATAAGAGAATGATAAAAAGAACAGTTTTTGGTAAAAGGTAAACAAAAATAATAATTTTGTCCTAAATTAAAATGATTGTTTCAAAATACACAAGAGAACATAGGGGAAAAGCTGAAAGGCACATGAACATTGCAGAAGGTTTATGGAAAAGGAATCTTGAGGGAAGAATTTGATCTGTGGTCAGGCTGAATGGAATATTAAGGTAGATAACTCAGTCAATTGCCTCATGGTGTATATATAATACATGTGAATTACCAGGCTCTTAAAAAAAAAAAAAAAAAAAAATATATATATATATATATATATATATATATATATATATATATTATTTTTTTTTTTACAGAGAGGAAGAGAGAGGGATGGAGAGTTAGAAACATCAACAATAGAGAATCATCCATCAGCTGCCTCTTGCACACCCCCTACTGGGGATGTGCCCGCAACCAAGGTACCTGCTCTTGACTGGTATCAAACCTGGGACCTTTCAGTCCACAGGCCAACGCTCTACCACTGAGCCAAACTGGTTTCAGCAAACTGCCAGATTCTTAACCATGATTGTTTTTAAGTCTTTTGTCCTTTGCAACAGTTATTATTTTATTCTAATGCTTTTGCAGAAAGGTTCCTGCCAGCGTACTTCATCTTTAAGAAGATTCATGGAAAGACTGACAAGTACAGGTTTCTGATAACTAAGTTAACTTCCCTTCACTTTTGGGGGGAAGGAGCAACAATAAACCTCTTAAGAGCTTCCCCAAGGCTACCTTCACAGCCCCACAATGTGACCTGTCCTTCCCACATCAGTAGGATGACCTACTGCCTTGATGACATAATGTTCCCGTGTGAAGATTGGCTCTGCCGGGACACCTGCCAGGGAAGGATGAAGGGTAAATCCACAGAGAACGAAAGGCCCAGAGACACCAAATGCCAGTGAGGAGGCGGAGAAAAGGAAGCCCTGGTGCTCATGGAGATCGGTACAGTCACTATGGAAAACAGTATGTAATCCCTCAAAAATTTAAGGATACAACTACCATATCATTAAGCAATTCTACTTCTGGGCATATATCTGAAGAAGATAAAAATCACTATTTTGAATAGATATCTGCACATTCATGTGCCTTACAGCATTATGCATAAAGGTCAAATCATGGAAACAACCTAAGTGTTCATTATCAGGAAAATGGATAAAGAAAATGTAACACACACCTCTCTCTCTCTCTCTCTCTCTCTCTCTCTCTCTCTCTCTCTCTCTCTCCCTCTCTCTCTCTCATAATATATATCTATATTATGATATATATATATATATATATATATATATATATATATATATATATCTTGAGGGCATTGTGCTAAGTGAAATCAATCAGACAGAGAAAGATCAATATGTGTGAACTCCTATGTGAAATCTAAAAACACCAGCTTCTTAAAAACAGAGACTAGGATGGCGGTTATCAGAGCCTGAAGAGTGGGGGACTGTGGGAATGTTGGTCAAAAGGCACACACTCTCTATTGTAAGATGACGAAGGGGAGCCTAGGGCACAGCATGGCGGCTGTAGTGAACAATATAGTATTGTGTCCTTGAACACTGCTGTGGGAGCAGAGCTTTAATGCTCTTTCAGTAACAAAATGGTAATTATGTGAGGTGAAGGATGTGTTAACTCACATTTTGCAATACATCCAAGTATGAAATCATCACATTAAACACCATAAACTTACATGGGGTTATATGTTAATAAAACTAGGGGGAAGGAGGCTTGGAGTAAAAGACTCACTCAGGAGGGGGGCCTTGGAAATGTGAGAGCACCTGAAGTCAGCCTTATGTGATGTCTGTAAGGGTCCACATTACATCTTTCTGGATTTATGCAGTGTTAGAATCCCCAAAACTGTTTGAGGAGTACAGACTGTAGAATTTCGCCAGCCTTCTTAATTTACAGGTGAACACATTGAGGCCTAGGCCACAGCCATGTAGTATCACTGTGACTTTCCCTTCTGGATTCTGGGTTTTCTCTATGACTTCCCACTTAACTGGAAACATTTTTTAGCTCAACACATACCCAGCACCCATGACATACCATGTGGCATAGGGTGGTCATTCAGAGATGTGGATAAAGCTTACCATCTAATGGAGGAGGCAGCATTTCAGAACTAATTATAGTCTACCAGATAAAAAAAAAACTATTCATAGATGTAAATTACATAGTAAATGCATAAATGAAAATGCTAAGTGAAAAAACAGGAAACAAAGTTGTATGCTCTGATAGCAATTCATTAAAAAAAAAAAATGTAGGGACTTGAGAAATGCAATAACCCATGAATGAGCCAAGTGCTAGGAGAAGTGCTAAAACCTTGTATTACAAACACCCGTGCACTTACTTGAGGGGCAGCACCCAGTGTTTGTGCTCCGCGCTGTAGCTCTGCATCTTGCCCCAGTAGAAGCAGCTCAGTAGATCCTGAAACAATATATTAAGTTCCCTTCCATACGCGGTCCCTACTCCAAAGGAACACTCTCCTAAAGAGAATAGAAGAGAGTGAGAATGAACGAGGTTAGAATTCAGATGGACCAAGGAGGGCAAGGATCCGAAAGGATATTCGCTGAAAGTGAAAAAAAAAAAAAAAAAAAAAAAAAAAAAAAGCCTTCTTTCCTCCTGACAGATGGAAACCGACGAGCGCCCCCTGCAGGCGGCACGGATGCTCACAGGGTCACCAGCCGCGAGGCAGGCGGGCGAGGCAGCCTCGGGCTCCCGGTCCACGGTGGGCGCCGTGGGAACCCTGGGCTGCAGGTGACTCTGCACGTGGCGCTGGCACCAGTCGGACTCGCCCCGTGGGCAGTGCGTCCTGGGGGGCGAGGTCCGGGATGAGGACTGGCTGGGGATGGGGTTGGGGAAACGCCCTGGTGCTGGGGGCTGAGTCGGAGCAAACCAGCCGAGGGGAGGAAGGAGACTGAAAGTTAACTCTGGGGCGCTGCCCTCCCCACTTCCAACACATGCACACTGCAGGGGCTCTTCTGGAGATGGCCAAGGGGTGCACGCTCTCCCTGCGTCAGATGTTTCCAGTAAACCCACTCACACATGTGCCCCACAGCTCAATGCATGCACTCTGGGGACAGAAACGAGGTGGGAGGGTTCTTTGTCTAACCCCGCATTTCATAGCGAAGCACAGCATCCCTCCTCCCCCCTCCCCCCACCCCCCCTCAATGGGCAAGTGTCCCGGCTCCTTCCCGGTCCCTCCCTCCTCTGGCCCACCTCCTCCCCGCTTCGCCTCCCCCCACCCCCACGCCCGCCCCGCGTCATCGCCCCCTTTCCCCTCCCCTCTCCCCTCGGTGAGCAGCTGGCTCTGCCTCCTCCGCAGTCTCCGCCGCTGGCTCCGGAGGTGCTGGCCAGCGGTGCAGGGCAGCTCCGGCCCAGGCAGGCAGCGGGGATCCTGCAGCAGCGCCCCCGCCCTCCTCCCTCCCTCCGTCCGCAGCTCCTGGTGATCACCTCGCCCGGAGCTCTTTGATTCCTACTGGGCAGCGCCCTGGGGCGGAATAAGCTTCACAGGTAAGGATGGAGCGTCCCCCGCACCCCCTAACCCCTCCCCAACCGCGGGCTAGACCCTAGCTAGAAGCTGGAAGTTTTCCTTAAAAAGGCAGTACCCATCCTTTTTTTGAGGGACCCTAAAGATGGGATCAAACTTAGCATGTTGTCCTCAAAGCAATGAACTTCTCTTCCCATAGGCAACGGTGGGTGCCTGCCTCTGCGCCGTTTGGCATTAACAGTACAGTGTGTGCATTGGAATACAAACGGGATTCTTTCTACCGAGGCAGGACCAGAGAGGAGCCTCTTTATTTTATGATTATTAGCAGATGCTATTGCAAAAGGTGTAAAACACATTCTCATAAAGTCTACTCTTGAAAACCTCCTTGGCAGGGTTAACTGTGAAAGCTAGAATCCATCAATCTCTCCCTTCAACTTGCAAAAGGAGAGTGGAACACCTTTCTCAAATAAGAAGGTGAAAAGGAAATAGAACAGCATTAGACTGGCTGTAAAATACTCCAGAAAAAAAAAAAAAAGCGCATGGGGGTGGGAGGGGGAATAGATGAAACAAGATTGGCGAAATATTGATAATTGTTGATGGGCACCTCTTACTCTATGTGTGTGTAGCTTGGACATTTTCTATAATAAAACGTTTTGAAAGTTGCAGAAATATTCTTGCCCGGTTCCTCTGACCTTTTTACATTGTCACTGGTTTGAAATGAAGCTGCATGTCCTATCTAGGTGCCTCCTCCCCCTTTTTATGAATCCTACGAACTTCTGGAATTCTCATTTTATCCCAAGTACATTTGCCTCTAGAGAGGATTATAAAAGTCACATTTTGCTACTTGGAGAATTATGCTTAGAATCTGTTTTATAATTTGTAGAAAGAATGTTCAGATCCCAGCCAAATAAGACATCGAGGCTTGAAAGCAGTGGCCAAGCATCATTTGGAATTTTATTTTTTTAAGGAAATATTAGAGGAACTCCTTTAGTGTGAGAAGGGATTGAACTCTCCAACATTTTCTTCCAGACAAGCCCAGAAACCCGGGGGCTTCAGAGAAACCTTTTCATGTTTTTAAATGTGAGACTGTTTAGCCTATGTGTACTTGGCACACAGTATGTATCATTATATGTTAAAACAAACTGTTGCTAATGTGGGTTAATTTTCCCTGTTGAGTAAATTATTTATCTTTCGCTGCCCAACGCTCGAGCATATTGCATTTTAACAGCAGGATCAGATTCAGAATTTTGGAGGTTGAAGCTTCCTCACTTAGCACTGAGTTCATTGCCGAGGAGAAATCTGAGATGAGAGATTAGAAAACAGCGAAGTCAGGTTAGTGGGACAAAAGTTATTTTAGAACTTTGCTTACCTAAAAATTTCTTCAAAAGTTTCAGATACGTTAAACTGATTGAACTGATGTATGATTAGCAACAACCACAATAAAAATGGTGATCAAAAGCTGCTTTAAGGCCTGAAAAGTAGCAAACCTAATATACTGATAGACATTCTTTGCTTTCAAAGATCAACTTGCAAGATATAAAAATAAGTCCGGGGCCATATACTGTGCACTTCCTACCTCAATGCATGAGAGAGCCAGCAGAGGGTTCCTGCTGGGTTCCCTCACTGCCATCCACCCCGAGTTTGATTCACACACAGCATATCCATTGCATACATTGAAATTACATGCCCTGGAAAAAGAGCTGAAAAAAAAAGGGAGGATTTTTATTTTATTTTATTGTGATGAGAAACAGAAGATGTGCGTTACTGTAAAATAATCAGCTGTGTAAGGTTACCATCTTCCTTTCCCTCATGTGCTGCCAAACTCTTAAAGCAGACGTTACTTGGTCTCCGTTCCTGAAGCTCAAGTTGAAACTCATGCTATGGTATGATATTTTGAATAGAAATTGGCACATGGTCAATGAACTTTCTTGCCTTCAGCATGGGATCAGTGGAGAGCATATCCTTTGGGAATGGGTTATAAAGTATTTGATAAACATATGTGAAATATTTGGCAGCATGAAGATTTTCCTTCATGTTGAAAGGAACTGCAGCACATTGGGGTGGGGGGACTATTTAGCAATGCTGTAGGTCATGGTGGAAGTGTGCTGGCACTGCTACGGTTTTCGGAAAGCCACCTGCCAGAAAATTGTCTGGCTGTAGACAGCATTATCAGCTCTCAGTTCATCAGGATGGGCTCTGCGGCCTGGGGATGGGTTTTCTAACTGTGATACATTCCATATGTGACAACCATTTTGTGTATTCGTCAGTTGCTTCTCCCCGTGCTGAATTCCACATGCTTTTCAAATAGATTCTATATCACAGCCCAGAAATGTAAACAATTCAAATGCAGGGCCTTGGATTTGCTATCACCAGGCTAACTTTGCCATCTAGTGGTAGCAATGTAGATAGCAGGTAAGTTCTTATCCTCGAGGATTAAGAATTGAAGCTTCTCGAGGATCATGGGTGAATAAGTTACTTGTGGCTTAAATTCTTTTTTAAAAAAATGTGTTTTTATTTATTTCATAGAGGAAGGGAGAGGGAGAGAGAGACAGAAACATCAATGATAAGAGAGAATCATTGATTGGCTGCCTCCTACACACCTCACTGAAGATGGAACCCACAACCCGGGCATGCGCCCTGGCCAGGAACGGAACCGTGATCTCCTACTTCATAGGTTGATGTTCAACCACTGAGCCATGCTGGCCTGGCATCACCTGTGGATTAATCTAGGATGTTAGAGCTGAAAGAGATCTTAGAATTGTTCTAGTCTAACTTGATAGCTAAAAAGAACTATCACAAGAACTTAAACAAGGAGACTTTGAAATGGTGCATAGTCTTCAGTACCTGTTTGCTGAATAAACAAACAGATCTACCTTCCCTTTCCCAGTTCTTGTCTCTCTTGCAACACTGCTTCATGCCACCATAACATTTTACTGTGATCTGTTTTTAGTTCTAAAATTGCATGTCTGCATACTTTTCCTTAAAATGAAAATTTTCATTTATGTTTAAGATGCTGAACCAAACATTTTCCCACTTTATATCACTCCCTACTTCCTCTTTCTTTATAAACACCAAGGGCAGACAATTTTTAAAAGGCTAGATTCTTACCTTTGTAAGAGTATTGATTTCCTTTTGCTGCTGTAAGAGATTATTGAAGATGCAGTGACTTAAACAACACCTTACCTTATACTCCGGAAAGGCCAGAAGTCTAAAGTAGGTCGGCAGGGTTGCTTTCCTCCTGGAAGTTAAAAGAGAGAACCCATTTTCTTGCGTTTTTCAGGTCCTGGAGGCCACCCCACATGCTTGTGACCCTAACCCCCGCCTCCACCTTCCTAGCTCCTGCTCACGCCGGGCCCTCCTACGTTCTCATAAGGCTCGCTGTGATTACATTGGGCTCACCTGGATAATCCAAACTGGTCACCTCGCAGAATCCTTAATCCCATTTGCAAATCTTTCACCGTGGAAGGAACTTATTTCCAGGTTCTGGGAATTAGAATGTGGCTCTCTTTGGAAGCCATTACTTGGCATAAGCAACGAGAGACACAGCAGTGGGAAATGTATGAAGCACCTTATAAGTATCTGCCAATGTTTGGACTTCCATTGTTTTATGTTAATAGTAATACATTGCTGCTATTTGTTGAATGTATGTCATGCTCTGGGCATATTAGTTTCTTACAAAAATACTTTAAGGTATTCGCCCTATTTAACAAATGTGGGAAATAATGTTTGGAGAGATTGAGTAACCTTCCTAAAGTCTTGCAGCTAAAAAGCAGCATGTATAGACTTACATTGGTATAGACTTACCATGCCCACTGCCTCCATAATGATGGAAACACCCTGTTCTTACTCTTCATACTTGTTAAGTCACTAACACTGCTATTTTCTCAAGGCTGACATTTCATACATGCTGTAGCTTAAAGGCTGCCCGCTATTCCCTGCCCCAGCCAGTAATTACCATCAGTGAGGGCCTGCAGTGGGAGCTGAACTTTGTAAATTACGTTTTCTTCTTTACACCTGCCCCCAATTTGTGAAAGTGACTTTTAACGTTTTTACAGGTGTTCTCCAAAACCTGGCCCATGAAGGCTTGCTTTCTACTTGTTTAGTCTTATTAGTGACACCCCCTCGTCTCCTGCTATGGGCTTTTGCCTGAGCCAGCACTTCTCTCTGTTGGCATTTAAAAATACCAGGGTCAGGTCACAACCTCAACCTGCTGTATGCCAATCTGTATGGAGCAGGCAGGGTATGAAAGTGGAGGAAGGAGATGGCTGGAGCATGTTTTCATACTTATGATGCATGTGTATAAATGTAGGCAGTGATGTGTGTGTGTGTGTGTGTGTGTGTGTGTGAGGGGAACAGGTGGTTGAGATCTTAGATGGTTAAGAAAAGGACAGGCAAGTTGTAAAGTGTCTGTGCAATTGTTGGTGTGACCTAACATATACGTAAGGTAGGAGTTGGTGTTGGCTAGTACTGCCCCCTTGAATGTTTAACAGATTAAGGCAAAATTCTCTTCCGTAATAGCATACTATTTATATACATCAGTGTTTCCCAAATAAAATTCTTGTTCAGTGTTTCCCAAACTTCTCTCATGACGAGAATCACCTGGTGGAGTTGTTAAAATACAGATTCCTGAATCCCAACTAAGAAGTGCTAAACTAGAATTTTTGGGAACATATAGGTAAAATTGTAGAAGTTTGGGAAACACTGAACATGAATTTGGACATCCGCCTCACCATGCATTACAAGGGACAGGTGGCAAAAAAGGTCTGAGTCAGTGTGAGTGTATCACCTGGTGAGGGAATGCCATTGATGCCAGTCCTTGATGTTAAGCCAGCAGCCTCATTTTTCATATACAAGAAAAACAGTTCATGTGAAATTAACATAGTGAGCAGCCTTCTCACCATTCATTATTAGTCCACCTGCCCTACCTGAGCTAAAGTACAAATATAATTGACATGCCAGTAATATTCTATACATTTTAGATAGATTCCTTCAGAAAGTTAGTTTTTTTCTTTCACTGCAAGTC